GTCGGGGCTCCGGGAGAAGGTGAACCCAAAATCCAAAGTTTTTGATCTCTCATTGTAGTGCTTGACTTCATACGTTACTCCAACATTAATTAAGGATCTCGAGGAGACTTACCAATCCACTCCAAGAGTTTAACATTTACTAAAGGATAATTTTTCAATAATTGGTCTCATAGAGCGCTACACCAATATCCTCACAATGACATATCCAACTTTAAAAAGCATCATCTCTTATTGTCCAAAGTCAACCAACATGCCTAAATGCCTATAGCACTCTCAGCATCAACACCTTAACTGATCAACAAATCATGCTTTAATGATTGTAGCACTCTTATTATCACACCTTAACAACATACATCTATATGCATTACCCTAGGTTAATGTATATAGAAGTATCAATAGAAATCAATTTATGTCATACCAATGCATCTCAACAATCTAACCATACAATCATCTATATATGTTATCCTTGATCAACGTGCATAAAACAATTATCACCAATCAGCATTCAATAGATCCATCTAAACTATCCATGTTCACCATTTAATTCATTAAGCAACTCACGCTTGGTGCCATATGCCCGGCACCCAAAGCCATCAAGGTAGGGAACTCTCTACCTTACCTATGCCCATTTCCATACAACTCGCACCCGTCGTGGATTAGGTGGAGACCCCTTAGGCACTCGCACCTAGTGTGGAAAGATCTCATGCTTGGCCTCAAACCAATCCAAGATGTTACTCTCTCCTCGCATCCAATGTCATTTTTTTAGCGTCTGACGTTAATCCAAGCAAAGCCAAATCTCTCATTTCATGCTTGAAATCATTGAAGTCACACTTGACCAAGTTAGAGGTTATTCTCTTTCCTCACATCGACATCACCAATCATGCGTCCGACGTGAGCAAGACAAAGACCCTTGATTTGAGTCACGCTTGATGCCATGAAGGCACTCTCGACATGATGATGAGTTATGCACTTACATACTCACAAATTTGGCTCAAACCACCTTTAAAATAGAATATTCCAACCATACAAACACAAGATGGCACCTATATACATCATCCACAACTCAATTTACACTAGAATGGTTGCATGTAACAATAACTCAAATAAATCACCAAGATTCACCTTCATGAACTCAAACCACCCAAGTTCAACAGACAAAAATTCACACCTCCGAGTCATTCATACAATCATGCATTAAACGAATTCAAGACACATATAACCTATCAGTCCATTAAAGATCTAAGTTCTAGCTTCCTTTACCTCAACTCCAAGTAAAAAATATGAATAAGGAAAAATAATATTAGTTTCGAGATTCAAGTAAATGTAAACTTTGCACCTACATCACCTTTATTCACAGTTATTCAACTTTGAATCAACAACTAACGACAATCCTTACTCACTAGGGAGGCTTAAAAATAAGAAGAAGAAGGATTAAACTTCAAGGCTTCTCTCTCCATGTTATCTCTCTAGGAATCTTGAGAATGAACTTATGAAACCCAATTCTTAAAAGAAACCTCATATACTCTTCTTCTGAAGGTCAAACTGGACCTTTATCCAAAAAAGCTCTCTAAATACCCAAAACTCTTTAGGAGTTCCTCAACTCCCAGAGTCCCTCAACGACTATTCCAAAACAACAAACACCATCTAATCATCGAGAAAATATAATAATTAACCAAGACATACAATATTATAGGATGCAAGTTAAAATCCAAGTATAAAATCTTGTAGAGGAGATCTCATTTGAGTAAATGCTCTCGGATGCAAGTTAAAACCAAATATAAAATCTTTATAGAGAAAATCTCATCTGAGTAAACGCTCTCAGATGAAAGTTAAAACCTAAGTATAAAATCTTGTTAGACAAGTTGTCATATGAGTATAAACTCTCAAATGGATTTTCTATGTATAAAATTTTGGCTGACAAGTTCTCATCCGAGAAACAGGCATGTATTCATCCAAGTAAAAATTCTCGATGGATTTTTCCAAGTATAAAATCTTTTTTAACAAATTTTCATCCAACCAGTCGACAAGTAGCCATTTGAGAAATTGATATATTCTAACCTGAGTAAAAACTATTAGATGAATTTTTCCAGGTATAAAAACTTGGTCGACATGTTCTCATCCAATTGGCTAATAAGTACCCATTTGAGAAGTCGACATGTTCTCATTTGAGTAAAAACTATTGTATAGATTTCCCAAGTATAAAATCTTGATTGACATGTTCTCACTTGAGTAAAAATCCTTGGATGGAATTTTCCAAGTATAAGATCTTGGTCAACAAGTCCTTATTTAACCAACAAGTTCTTATCTGGTTGATAAGTACCCATTTGAGAAGCCGACATGTTCTCACCCAATTTTGGATGAATTTTTCAAAGTATAAAATCTTAGCCAACAAGTTCTCATTTGTCGATCAACAAGTACCCATTTGAGAAGTTGACATGTTCTCATTTGAGTAAGAACTCTCGGACAAATTTCCCAAAGTATAAAATCTTGGCAAACATGTTCTCACCCAAGTAAAAACTATTGAATGGATTTTTCCAAGTATAAAATATTGGCTAACAAGTTCTCATCTGACCGACAAGTACCCATCCGAGAAGGCTACTTGTTTTCACTTGAGTAAAAACTCGGATGGATTTTTTCGAGTATAGAATTTTGACCGACAAGTTCTTATTCGATCGATCAACAAGTTCTCATCTAAGAAGCCAACTTATTCTCGTACGAGTAAAAACTCTAAGATTTTTTGAAGTATAAAATCTTGGTTGATTAGTTTTCATTCGAGAAGTTGACGTGTTATCATTGGGGCGACAAGTTCTAATCCAAGAAGTCGACATGTTATCGATATGAGTAAAAACTCTTGGATGAATTTTTCCAAGTATAAAATCTTGGTTGAAAAGTTTTGATTCAAGAATCCGACATGTTTTTATCCAATTAAAAACTCTTGGATGGATTTCCTAAGTCTAAAATCTTGGTCGAGAAGTTTTCATTCGAGAAGTCAACATGTTATCATTCGAATAAAAACTCTCAGATGAATTTTCCAAGTATAAAATCCAATTGTAAAACCTTAGTTGAATTGATCAAATCAAATTTTTAGTCGATAAATTTTGGTTGACAAGTTACCACTTGAGTATAAACTCTTGGATGGATTTTTCTATGCATAAAATCTTACCTGACAAGTTTTCATACGAGAGGTCGGCGTGTTCTCATTGGCCAGCAAGTTCTCATTCGAGAAGTCGACATGTTCTCATCCAATCTATGATGGGTTTTTCTAAGTATAAAATCTTGACCGACAAGTTCTCATTTGAGAAGTTGACATATTTTTGTCCGAGTAAAAACACTCGGATGGATTTACCAAGTATAAAATCTTGGCCAACAAGTTTTCATTCGAAAAGTCGACATGTTCTCATATGAGTAAAAACTCTAGGATGTATTTCTCAAGTATAAAATCCAATTGTAAAATTTTAGTCAAATTAATAGAATAAAATTTTCAGTAGATAAATTTTGATTAACTATTTTTGACAATTCACTCTAATTAGAAAATTTCACTCGAAAAAGTGGCTACTACTTGTACTATTACTAATGGAGGTGAATTTTTATTTACCACATGATAAGCAAAAGTTAAATGTTTTTGGTTAAAGTGTTTATGGATATGCTTTAAATAATTAAATATCTTCTTCCATAAACTTGAGACTTGAAAAACTTGTGTACACCAACTAACGAAAAAAATATGTGAAGAAAAATATAATATAATACTAATCGTTACTCATTAATTAAAAATTTTAAATACTTTTATTACTTTCATATAAATAATATAATATCTTTTATTATTTATTTTTGTATACTTTGTCTCTTAGAGGAGAAGTTCATTCTTAAGAATACACCAATTTTTTTTTTTTAAATACATTCACCGATCTAAAGATTGAAAACCTCTAAAGGCTTGAGTATGTTTTTGGACCATTACGGATAGAAAATTGTATTTAAAAATGGTTGGAATAACTTCCAAGTTGTAAATATAGAGCTAATATGTAATGGCACCGAAAATTGATAGCTGGAAATGGTAATCCAATGGGTGTGAGCGTTGCTCTTTACCTAACAGCGAGTGGGTGAAAAAATGTTTGGGTGAGGTGAGCCACACAACAATCGCGTTTGTGCCTCCAGCTCCCTGCTGCCGACACTGACTAGTTTTGATAGTTTTGGGGTCATGTCATGCGCTGCTTTTCTTCCATCCAAACTAACACAGTCACACCGCACATAATATGGTATCCCACTCCACCTTTACCTTTTTTACCCCCTCATTTAATCATCACACCTGTCATTTACTTTTCAAATTCTGCTTATTCTATTTTATCTAATCATACACATACATGTTCTTTATTAAAGCAAAAATTTTCGATCAAAATTATAACCCATTTTCTTAAGATACTAGCCCGATCGAAAATGAACTGTTCTTTATTATTCATTTATTTTTATTTACTTGTTATTAATTTTTCATGCAACGTTTGTTGAAGTTCAACTGCATTCCAATCATTTATTGCATTGTTATTACTCGCGCTTTCAGTCTTTTCCTACCCACAGCTCAGCCTTCGATTTATTTTAATATATATTTTAAAAAACTGAGTTAATTATAGTTTTACATTATAAACATTAAAAATTACATATTAAGGCAAGTCATTTCTCTTATAATATTATAATAATCATAATTAGTGCGTCATGTTTAAAAAAAGATTAATCATAAATGGAAGACTAAATCTATGCACTAGTACTCATAAAAAAGAAAAAGAAAAAAATGTATGCAGTAGTATAAAGTTTTCCTTGATGGACTAAGAACTAATTTGAAAGAGGCGTGTGGGAAGCGACTGAGGAAGAAGAGAAAAAAGAAAGCGACTGGCAGAATTTAATTGACTCTTGTGTAATTAGAAGTACAAACACAAACACTAAATGTACTCTTAAGTCCTTAACAATAACTAACATTGCTATTAAATTATTACTCTATTAACATTAAAATTAGTATTATTACCATTACACGCGTCTCTCACTCTCTTTCTTTCTTTCTTTCTCTCTCTCTCTGTCTGTCCGTCCTTGTGACAGAAACAGTGAAACCCGGCAAAGGAGTTGTATTGTATTTGTAACAAAGTTGGTGATATCGGTCCCTTTGTACCTAGTTCACCTATGGAGACCAACAACAGCAAACAGCAGAAGAAGAAGTGGTTTCTGCCGCTGGTGCTGTCTCTACTCCTCTCCACCCTGCTCATACTCTTTTCCATCTTCGTCTCCTCCGATTCCTCCTCCCTGCTCTATCTCTACCGTACACGTGGCAGAGTCGATGAGCCTCGTTTCGTGGAGTCCAAGCTGAGGCTGTCGTCCACGTCACCCAGGGACTCGGTTCCCAGGATCGCGTACTTGATCTCGGGCTCAATGGGCGATGGCGAGACTCTGAAGAGGACGCTCAAGGCCCTTTACCATCCCAGGAACCAATACGCTGTGCACTTGGACCTCGAGGCTTCTCCCAAGGAAAGATTGGAGCTTGCCAACTTTGTCAGGAACGAGCCTCTCTTTGCCCAACTGGGTAATGTTAGGATGATTGTTAAGGCCAACTTGGTCACTTACAGAGGACCCACTATGGTCACTAATACCCTCCACGCTGCCGCTATTTTGCTCAAGGAAGGTGGTCTCTGGGATTGGTTCATCAATCTCAGTGCCTCCGATTACCCCTTGGTCACCCAAGATGGTACTACCCTTTACTTTGTTTCTTTCTTGATGGGTGAAACGATGCAGTGTTTTTGTTCCTTTCTGTGTTTCTGTTGTGGGAATTTTCTTGATTCGTTATCTTTGAAACGAGCCCGGCCAGTTATTTGTTCTTTTGGCTGTTTTGTAGTTTCTAATTTTGTGTTAATCGATTTAAATGCTGTTTTGTTTTGGAATGCGTTTCTGAGATTTGATGTGACAATCCGACTCCGACCTGTCTGTTCTATGTTGTTGCTAATTTTGCCCCAAGATGAATGTGGATTGTAGAGGGATTTTTTGAATTTTAAATTGGTTTGATCTGGTCCCCAATCTGTGTCCATTGTCCTAATTGTTCTATCTATTGCTCATCAATGAGTTGTTTGTTTTTGTCAGCAGACAGGCTTGTTCCTCTCTCTCTCTCTCTTCTTGTAGCCCCGGGTGGTGGGGGAGAAGGAATACCCGGTTTCAGATAAAAGTAAAATTGCTTCCAACTCCACTAGTTTCTGCAATGCATTGATGCTTATGTTTTAAACAATAACCTCTATGCCATGTATATTGGATGCATAGTAATACTTATGTGAAATAACAAATTTCTGTTATGGATTTTTTGATGGTTTGCTAGTTAAATCTGTGAATTTGTTGAGACTTACTAGAGAGGGAGAATTGTGAACTATGTTACCCTTTTTCACAATCACCCACTGCATCTCTTTTGCTCATCAGATCTGCTGCATACACTGTCATCAATTCCAAGACACCTTAACTTTATTGAGCACACCAGTGATATTGGCTGGAAGGAGTAAGTTGTTTTAATCCTTTTGGTCAGTGTTTGTTGCAGGATTTACTTCATTTCCTTCAAAATTAACTTGCAATTTTGTGAAATATCGAACATATCTCTTCTTTTAAAGTAAATCTTCACTGTTTTCTTTTTTGAATAGAGATCAGAGAGCCAAGCCTGTTATAATTGATCCAGCTCTTTATAGTGTCAATAAATCTGATTTATTTTGGGTGACAGAGAAAAGAAATGTTCCCACAGCATATAAGCTGTTTACAGGTAAGAAACTTGGTATCTCATGCCTCTCATTTGGTTATTTTTCTCATGCTACCTTTGTTATTTTGCTCTTTCAATTTTTGTAGAATGTTTCATAGTGAGTCTATGAGACATGTAACCTTGAATAAATTGAAGATATTACAGAAACCATAAGAGTTATGGGGAATTTTTTTTTTTTTTAAACTGGAGTCAAACAGTCATGATGGAAGAGAGAGAGAGAGAGAGAGAGAGAGAGACAGAGATAGAGAGGTAGAGCAATGATAGTGTTGTGACTTGTGAATCCTATTAATAAAATGACTTCAGTAGCCTGTGGTTTGGAGTATGATTGCTCAGGATTGCTGCACCTTTTCACTTTTTGTTTTCTGCATTCTCTTTTCTCCTCTCTCTTAGTGGCTACAATTTTTCACATCTGTCTTGAACTGTGTATCCTATATGTCTCTTAGGTACTGATTGCCATTGATAATCCTAATACAGCCTTTGACAAACATTTTTATCATGAACTGTGTATCCCTTACTAGTAAATTCATTCCATTCATACAAGAGGCCTAATTGCATATGCTTATTCTGGTCACGAGGGTCGACTTGGTGGTCTCATGTTCGATTCTTGTCAGTGTTAAAATAATATTTAGTAAATAGAAGTTATATTCTGCGAGCATAAATTAGTTCTTAGTTGTTAGTTTTGGGACACTGTGTGAATTATATTCGTGCACAAAAAAAATATGCTTATTGTAGTGTCCTTTCCCTTGTTTTAAGTTGGTAAATGCTAACAAAAGCCTTGAGGATATTGGCTAATGGAAGAAAGGAAGAAAGTAGTTGTTGAAAAAGATAGCATTTAGTATATGAAAAACACAAAAGTCATTTAGTAGCACTTATTAACTTTTAAAGTAATTAAAAGCATTTAATGAAGTGCACTAAATGCATCTTAACCATTGTCATTAGCAAATACTCCATCGGTTTTTAATATGAGCAAAAAAAAAATTACGCCAACTAAGAAAGTTAGTTAACATCATTTAATTTCAATAATTCCATTTAAAAATGTTTATTAAAAATACAATTTCAATTAAATGAAAAAGTATTTTGGGAACAGTAGTATTAAATTGAGTGAAATTAGTTGAGATTTGTTTATATTTAGACCAACAAATAGTCAAATTTGTTTATATTCAAAATCCGTGGGAGTATGTTAGCATGATCCTTTTAAGTTTGTTTAAACATGAAGCCACATGCAACTAAATTTCGGCATGATCACATAGTTGATTTGAATCTATGAGATACAGTACCTTTTCTCAAGTTGTTTTCAATAGTTGTCCATTACTAGAAGACTTATAATCCAGGGAATTTTAATTTGAATCCAGCTTTATGCTATCTGAGTTTTGTTTTGCTACTTGCTTTTGCTCAGGTTCTGCCTGGATGATGCTCTCCCGCCAATTTGTTGAATATATTTTATGGGGATGGGATAACTTGCCTAGAATAGTCTTGATGTATTATGCCAACTTTCTATCCTCCCCCGAGGGGTATTTTCACACAGTCATCTGCAATGCTGAGGAGTTCCGAAACACTACTGTGAACCACGACCTCCACTTCATATCATGGGACAACCCTCCAAAACAACATCCACACTTTCTTACAATTAATAACTACAAGGGAATGGTGGACAGCAATGCTCCTTTTGCTCGAAAATTTGGAAGGAACGAACCACTCTTGGATAAGATTGATGCTGAACTCTTGGGACGAAATGAATATGGTTATGTGCCTGGCAGGTGGTTCAACCAAGCAAATCTGAACAGCACCAAACCATATTCTTCCATAAGAAATATTACTGAACTTAAGCCTGGCCCTGGAGCAGAAAGGCTTAAACGCCTTATCAATGGTTTATTATCAGCCGAAAATTTTCACACAAAGCAGTGTTCTTGACACACAGGTTTAAGCACCTGCTATGTTCATTGCTGTTTTTTCATCACCCAACAGCAACAGGCAAGCAATTCCAATGTCAACACATGAAGGATGTTTTTGAGACCAAACAGGAAAATATGAGGAGACAAAGCAGAAAACTTATGGGATCATTTCTTCAGAGGTAAGTCTTACCGTCAACTTCTATTTTTACACAAATTTTAACGTGACCACACATTTGTAGTCCATATGTATCCATTGATTCACATGATATATTAAATTTAATGGATGACAATGACAGAGTCATCAATGCAAAATTGTTGTACTCCTTAGAATGTCTTTATAGCAAATAAGAGATTCAATTATATAATACACGGGCAGAATGCTTGCTACTGTTAGGTTGGAAGTAGCACAAAGTCCGTGAAAAGTACGCTCCTAGTCTTTTATACAAGGACGTGCTCAAGTAGATGCCACCTATTCTGATTTTCCTTTCCTCGCTCCGTTTTCTTGAGTTGTTATTACCCTCATGAATCGATGGTACATTTGATTTTTCTTTTCATGGATGTACGTTTGATATACGCTAGGCTCTTGCAAATAAGTGAAACAACACCATCGAGCCAAAACATGAATGTGATCATTTACTTACTATGGGAGCCATTAGTGTCCTCTAAATTCACCATGTTGATATAATAAAGAAGGCAACTTGCACTTTTTTTGTGCCTGTGCATGTAAGGGATCATCTGCAACTGGGTTTCTTTTTCTTTACTGATGCTAACATCCTAATTCCTAATGTTGGCTATGTTTGCCTTCCTCCCTTTCGTTTGCTATACACAAACATTTATTCCATTACCTTTTTAATCAATGAATATAGCATCAAATTCTCCACATTTCAAAATTCAAACAGTTGTTAGTTAACTAAAGAATTGCATACATTAGCGCACACAATCACAACGCCCACAATGTGTAGTCTCATAACATAAATGTGTTGCTTCTTCACCCCTCAATCAAAGGGTAAAACCTTCGTGGGCCACTGGGCCCATGCTCCAGCATCGTTTAAAGGAATGTCCTAAAAAACTCATTCTAACTCCAACAGTCTTAACACATCCGCATTTTGAGTACATGTCCACAAATGCATGTGCACCAAAGTTAGAAGGTTTAATTCCGTTTACTTTAAAAAATAATTATTTTGTACCAGTATTTTTTTTAAAAGCTAATATTTTTTAATTTAAGCAATTTTAAGTATGCATTATGTAATTAAATGATCTAATTGCTTGGCAAAGAAATGGAGCCACAATGCTTGCCTAGTAAGCACAGGGATTTTCCTAATTTTACTCAGAACTTTGTATTGGATAATCTTTTTTCAGTTCAGTTTTTTTAATTTGTAGTTCTATAGTAAATTAGTCTTTTTTTTTTTTTTTAACCTAAGTTACTAAATTTCATATCCCCTAAATTTCATTAATTTCTTTTGCCCAGTAAAATTTTAGTAGACATACTACATCCTTTTGTAGGGGAATCAAACATTTTCTATGCACGAGCTTGTAAAATGTTTATTAATGTGTGTACATTTACAATCTAAACTTTAAGAAAGGAAATAAAACAATCTTCACCATAAATTAAAATAGGTTAAAATATGTTTTTATTTTTTAAATTTGAAGTAAAAATTTGTTTTTAGTTCTTCAAATTTAAAATTAATATCTTTAGTCATGTAATTTTTAAAATAAATTGTTTTAATTTCTTAGATTACTAATAATATATTTGAAAGTAACGGATTGACAAAGTTATAAAATATTAGTTAATTATAATATAGTCACATAAAAAATTAAGTTTAATGTGATAATTTTACTAATAAAAGACAATAATATATAAATTTTATTCGATAATATTTTATAGATTTTCTTAAAAAAATTGAGTATAAAGACTTTTAGGTCACTAATATATCTGAAAGTGACAGGTTAAAATAATTATATAATATTAGTTGAGTTTAATGTAATATATTTACTAATAAGATAACAATAGACATATTTTATACGATAATATTTGATAGATTTTCTAACAAAATTCGAGTATAAGGACTAAAATAATATTCTTTTAAATTATAAGGATTAAAAAGATTAATTTTAAATTTGAAGGATTAAAAATATATTTATCATATATTTGAGGAATAAAATATATTTAAGGCCATTAAAATATATAACAAATTACTTACATGTTTGGATGTGACAGAAATAATTGTGAAGTGCATCGTTGAGAGTAACTAGTAGATGCTTCTATCAACTATTAGTTAATTTTATTTATAGGATTGAATTTTACTTTACTAAAAGATAATTTCAATGAGGTAATGGAATAAGATTAAAATTTTTGAAAAAAAATTATATTTATTATTTGATTATAGCTCGAATAAGATTGTATCTGAGAAAAAATATTTGTAAGCATAATCTAATAAATGCTTTTATGTTAGTTTTAAGATGATTTTCACCATAATGTGAATTATGAATTGACCAAACATGTTCCACAAGTTTTTAAATAAACCTTTCAATCTTAGTACTAAGGCTAAAAATGGAATATTGAGTTAGACATTAAAAATGTAAAACAAAAAAACATTGTGAAAGTATAAAAATAAAACTAAAAGTTTTATTTATTTATTTATTATTTTTAATGTATGACGGTGATAGTGAGATTCAATTATCAATTTATCATCCCTCAAATTTTTTTTTTATCAATTTATCATAATGTTTGTAGGTGTAGAAGATTTTTTTTTTAAGAGATATTAACTCTTTACAATGAATCTCGATACATAAAATATTTTAGTCTATAACTATTCACTTAATGATATCGTGAACACCTAATAAAAAAATTAAACTTTGCTGTCATAGAAACAAATCAAATCACTAATAAGTTGACCTGATAGTTATATGTCAATAGATTGAGTTAATATTCAAATTTCATTTCTATTATCGTTATAAAAAAAAGTGAAAGAATTTTAAGATATAGTACTGTTAGAATTGAAATTACACACACAAACCTTGTTCACTCTATCTCTCTATCTTTTGGAATATTTTTCTTTTATCCTTGGGGCAATTTTGCATTTTTTTAATTTTTGTAAAGTACTATTTTTTAGTATGTGTATATGAAAAAAGATAAAAAAAAAGAAATAGAGATAAATATATATTTTCAAATCTAATGTTCAAAACATATAATTAATTTTTATATTTTAAAATCATATTTGTGAGTTGAGTTTTAGGAAAAAGTAAACTTTACCTTTAATAAATATTTTAAAGCAATTAATAAATTTACATATATTTTTAATTTTATAAATATTATTATGTTATTCACGTGTTACCCAACAAATAAATTAAAATATAATAATATAAAATTAAAATTATCAATTTAATAGATAATACGATTTTTTTAAAGAAATATTCGATAAAAAATATATTTTGTATTGAGTATATATTTTAAGAAAAAGAAAAATAAAAAGAAAAGTACTACAATGAAACATAAAAAATGAATTTATTATTTTTAAATAATCTTAAAATTTCTAAAAATAGTAATGATTCCATAAAAAATTGTTAAATGTTACTTTCTTCATTTTAAATTTTTTAATAGATGTAAACCTGGATTAATTTTTTTTAAAATTTTATTTAACATCTCATTATCTCAATCCTATTATTTTGTTTTTGTAAAATTTAAGTGAGTAAATGAATAATTGACGGAGAAAATATTTATTAAACTGAGATGAGATGTGATTGAAAAATAACATTAATCAAATTTAAAGATTGTAAAATACAACTGTTTTGGATTTTTTTTAAAGGAACTAAAAATTTAGGAGAGAGTTTCTATTCTAACATGAACACAAGATTTAGTAGTGTTTATAAATTCTCTTCCTTGATTTTAAAACACCAAAATGGTCCATAGTAAATAAAACACACTTCATTTACTCTCTCTCTCTGAAGAAAAGGAACACTTGGTTCCTTGGCTTCTTGCTCTAAGCACTTTGTTCACCATCTCGCAGATCCAAATCTGAAATAGAATCCCCTGAAGCTTTGATCGATAGCTGACACAGTCCTTTTCCATGGCCAATGCCTGGAAAAGAGATAAACCCACGCGACTACTCTCTCCCAAGTTACTCTTCCTACTCTTCTCCTTCATTCTCATCCTCTTCTTCTGCTTCTGCTTCTTATTCCTCACCTCGCGCCCCTCAAACCCTAACCCTACCCTCACAGCCCTCAATGCTCGCATCTCCTTCAATGCAATTTCCCCCTTCGACTGCACCGGATCCCCGCAGGCCCACCCCGTCGTCGCCAACACCGTCGAAGGCGTTCGTCACCCCTTCATGTTCTCCCTCTCCGACTTCGGAACCCTACCCGACAAGCCCCACAAGAACATCGTGAGGATGCTCAAAGGGAAGCCCTTTCGCAAGCCCGACATCTCCGTCACCGTTCAGGAGGTTCTGGAGAAGGCCAAGGCCGAAGGCAGAGATGGGTTTTTCGTCGACGTGGGTGCCAATGTTGGCATGGCCTCCTTCGCCGCCTCCGCTATGGGGTTTCGGGTTTTGGCCTTCGAGCCTGTGTTTGAGAATTTGCAGAAGATCTGTGAGGGGATTTACTTCAATAGAGTTGCGGATTTGGTCACTGTGTTTGAGGCTGCTGCGTCGGATCGCATTGGTAACATTACCGTTCACAAGGTTATATTCCTTCTTTTCTTATTTTTTATTTAATTATAGATAATTACACTAAAAGTTTCGTGAAATTGCACATGACCCCTGCTTTTTTAAAGTTTGCTGCAACATTCCTTATAGGGGACATGGTACAATATTTTTCAAACAATTAAAGAGTTAGTGTAATATCTAAGGGGTATGAGGGTCATGTTTTTCGAACAATTAAGGGAAGTTATTGTAGGAGTAGAAAAGTGCAATGCTGTGAAACCTTGAGAGTGTCAGTGTAATTTTCTCACTATGGTTTTGTTTTGCTTGAATTGGATTTCATGGATTGGTGAGTATATAAACTGAACTATGATGAGGGGTTGTAGAAGGAGGCTTGGGTTAGTGCATTGTTGGATGTTAATCTAATTAGCTCAGAAAAGAATCATCTAGAGTGCCCAAAGAGAAAAGTGGAAGAGATTATAGGTGATGGAAAAGATAAATAAAGAACTGTTTCTGGATAGTGATGAATCGTTTTGTGAAATGACTAGTTGAGAACCGACTTCCTTTAACTTGTAGTATGGTTTTCCACTTACGCTTTGTGGTGAAAGTGATCAGTCAAAATTCTGGTTGGATGCTATCGGATTTCAGAATTTCATGATAAGCTTTGCATTTTAATCCTTCTATGGGAGATTGACTGTGGAATGGCATATGTAAATATAATTAATAAGGATGTTCTCGGAGTTACTTCTAGTTTAAGGATAGGAAGCAAGTAGTGACAAAAGTTACAGTGTCTTTAGTGTATGTTGGAATATGTTTGGTGTTACAAAATGAGGTAGTATATAAATCAGTTAAAGCATATTTTATATTCTGGAAGTTATTAACGTGGTAAATAAGGTTGATACTTCATGTTCATGCTATTTGTATGGAGCTATTATTCCGGATATCTACACTCTTGCAAATAGAGGAGAGAGTGTGTGTGGCCATATTCTCTAAATCATGTTCTACATAATGCAAATTTATTGCCAGAACATGACATGAGTGGCGAATAGGATAGCTTGGATCTTTAGCTTACTGGTTGCAGCATCCTCGTTAGTTTTCCCCTTTTTTGTTAGCTGACCAATCTGCTGTTAGCTTCTTTAGAATCTATCTTTTTTTGTTATATTCTCTTGTTTACCCATTCAAAAGGATGCTAAGCTTCCCGTTTGAAGTTATGTCGAAGCTTTAGGAATTAGGACATTTTTTAAATGAGCTGTTTTGGATCATTTGAGGTGACCATAAGATTTTAATAGACCTGATTAGTTCAGGTAGTTGGGTTGATGGAGATTTAAATAAGGTCTTAGCTTCAAGTGGTGGTGAGGTAATGACTAATGAATAATGACGTCCAGTTGTTCCCCCACAATATCCCCAAATTGCTGATTAAAATTTTTTTAGGGCAGGTTAGTCCTTGCACTAGGTATATTTTGAACGATGATCTGTTTATCCATTAAAAGAACTTATTTAAAGAGCCAGCTTGTCTGCTTTGGTTAGATAGACTTGGATTAGATGAGTGTCATAACTTGCAAGTCTCAAATCTCCTCTTCAGGGAGCAGCTTAAAATGTGGCCTCCAAAGATTTAGTATGCGAAATTAATGACAATAGCTGGTTTCTGTAGTATCTTAAAAATAATGCACAAGATTTATTATGCAACAAAAATCTGTTTTTATTTTTGGTTTTAATTATAGTTGTCAAAAAAGTCTGGCTGCATGATTTTATATGAAAGTTTTTATTTTTTTCTTTTTAAGATGAAATGGATTTGGGAAGAAATCTATAACATATTATGGGTGAGAGTTAATGAAAAATAAAAGGACAAGAAAATGAATTAATTTATTTTACAATGGCACAATGCAACTTCTGCTTGTCTTTCAATGCTGATTAATTCAATTTTACTTGATTTTCCAGTTGGTTGGTAGGCTGGACAACAGTGCGATCTCTGCCACAGGTGCAAAGATGGCATTCAAGTCCAATGAAGAGATAGCTTTTCAAGTAAGGACTGTTCCTCTTGATGAAGTGATTCCAAAATCAGAGCGCGTGCTTCTGCTTAAAATAGATGTTCAGGGATGGGAATATCACGTTCTTAAAGGAGCATCAAAGTTGCTATCAAGAAAAGGAAGCCAAGCCCCATATCTCATATACGAAGAAGATGAGCGCTTGTTACAGGCCAGCAATAGCACTGCAAAAGAGATTCGAGACTTCCTCCGTAGTGTGGGTTATCATGATTGCACCCAACATGGCACAGATGCACACTGCATCAAGAAGGATTGATTATAATTTTGGTTTTCAGTTTTTTGTTGCCTAGATGGATAACCGAGTTATTGCCAGTTGACCATGTCAACCATTTATTGAGTGGTGAATTGATTGCCAATGCTGATGGGTACGAGTTAAGACGGGTGGCAACTACACCGCTAACTACAAGCTGCTTCGTGATCTCTTTCTATCCACGAAGTTTGAAATGCGTGTTCTTGGACAAGCATTTCCTTTAATTGTGATTATTGGGTATATTTGTTTGGGTTTAGTACTTGTATACAGGGCCTTTATTTGTAGGCATTCATTAAATGCGTTTCTCGAATTTCCAATTATATATTAAAACCTGCTTAATATTATTTGTGTAAGATAAATAGTAATGAAACAAATATAAAAACTGTTTTTGATAGAAATCATGGCGTCGTGTCTATTTGACGAAAATCCCTTCGTATTAACGAACATTTCTGTTTATAAAATATGTGTATCGACTTCTCATGTTTGATATACAGAGAACTACATCATCTGCGGTGGAAACCAACGTAATTCAAATAGTCGAAAGGAATAAAATGAACTATACTTATCCAACAAGACTTAACAATAATTGATTTGTTTGTTTCGCATCAACTTGCCAGCTACCAGCAAGAGCAGTGCGTGGAAGAGAAACAGGAAAATTTCGTCATCTTTGCACTCTGGCACACAAATATCATCACAATTCACAACTTAAGAAGTCTTCTTGCGGGGGTCGATTTCTGAGGTATCCTAACTGTAAAACACGTGCATTTAAGAAACCGTAGAACCACTGTATTCTATGGTATAATGATCAAATAACCAATTCTGTATGCTTTAGTGCTATATATATGCCAGAAAAAAAGATTGGTATGTATGTCAAACAGAGCAATAACTCATATACCTTTATTGAATTGGTATATCTTGGGACAATACTAATAGAATGATTAAAACAAGGTAAGGGGTTGATTACCTGAGGCTCTAATCACACAGCTCATCCTTAGGATTCATTTGGCCCACTAGTTTTTGAAGGGCCAGCTCTTTCCACCATAACGTCATAAAGCTGTTTCCCATTCTGCTCGTCAAAATAAATTAGCCAGTTAAATAAAAAATGTTGAAGCTTAACGTCTGAAACTCAAGTAAGAATGAAATCTATTTTCTTAACTATTTCCTATAGTGTACAAGCTATACTTGCGTCCAAAGTGCTTACAAAGATTACGGGAAAAAAATGAATTTGTCCCTCAGGCTTTGTTTGCGTCTCCTTGAAGTAAACCAAGATAGGGAAGTTTGGCCACCAGAGTTCCCAATTAACAAATGTTGAGTACCTACAGCATATCAAACAAGTTTTTATCCTACTGTTGTGAAACTCTAGTAAGAGTAAACATGAAATCGGGTCCTTACTTCCACCGGTTTTTTCCTCCCACGAAAACATTCTCGCCTGATTCCTGGAGCTGGTCACCTACCTTTACCTCCTAAACCATAAAATTTTGTATATAACTAACATGAATAACTAAAGAGAGCTGAATAAAAAAGCTGGAATGATAAGTATACATTTACATGAAGTCATGCACTCACAAATAATATGCCGATGAAGTTACATATACAAGGATGGTAACTAAAACTGGATGATAACTTCATATAAATATAAACCTTATATAAAGTAACAACTAACAATTGGTCAAGCTTCAGAATTCATAGAACACAGTGGGTTTAGTTTAGTCGTTTTGCATCAAATTGGTGCAATCTAATAATAGAGTCATGCAAGGCTTGATGGAAAAACATGCAGAGAATTTGCTATTAAGACCAAGACATAAATGTTCGAAACATAATTTTTCTCAGAAATCAAGGGGTTGAATTCTCTATTTGTTATTATGATGATTAAAAATTTAGAATGGCGATTTGTTTTGCAGATATAAAGAAAAAAAAAGTCTAATGGATTCAGTTACATAATGGTATGACATTTTCTGATTTCAAGTTTGAAAAATGAGTAGAAAATCTTGGTTAAAAGTTTCTTAGAAGTAACTAGTAAGAATGTGTGTAAATTGTGGGTTTTGCTGGTTATTTTGAAATAACAAATTTCTATCACTTTAACTAAGCACTAAGAAGGTAAATGATACTATACATAAATCTAAAGTTCTCGGAGAAGAAGGGTACAGACCAGAGCCTCGTCATCAAAGACAAATCTCACTCTAGTAGTCTGAGAAAATAAGAGACAAATAATAAGAGAAAAAGTCAGCTTTTGATAAATGGAATGGAACATATAATGCAGCTTATAGCAAACAGAGCGAAAAGTCATCAGACAAAATAATGTGACTCTCAGAATGACAAAAAAGTACACTGTTTTCTACTAATAATCACCTGGAACAACAGAAGCAATCCAAGGAGACCAGCAGGTACTGCAGGTACTAGGTTATCTGTGTAAACCAAACCACCAGCTACACCTGATTGTACAATTTTAACCATATAAGATTTTAGGACGTTTGTGAATCTGCTTATGTAAGGAAAGGCAAAATAAACCAATTTAACAGCATCGGAAGTTGTTAAAAGTGTAAGCTAATCCAAAGATCCACAAGTCCAAAACTAAGGCAACAGATGGTCCATACTCCAGAGGGGTACTTATTTTTCCGATGAATAAAATTTTGTTCTTTAAAAGATTGTAATCATCTCAATTAAAAGGCCACCAATCAAAATATGTAGTTGTAGATACTTTATTCAGGACAGTCCACAAATTATATATTCAAGTATTGTGAACCTTGCTGATTTGAGAAGAGCAGTAACTCAAACATGTAGGGTTATACCATGTCATTCACCATGGTTAAAGATAGAGTCTTCAGTTACAGTAAGCATTATCGCTTACTTAAAAGCCTGAAATTATGTGGTAAGACACATACAAATAAAGAGAGAATCAGTAACCACCGAGTAGCACAATTGGAATCCTGTAATCTGGTTCAGGAATCACAGTCTCTCTTCTAGTGCTCCTCACCTTCCTTCCAAGCTGTCAACGAATAAATTCCATAGTTAGAGTAACTCCACCAAAGAGACTTCAAACATACGAGAACCACAATTGTAAGCAATGACAAATGAAATGACAGAGACAGCAGAAAGGGTGAAGTAGCAACCAGTGAATTAACAACAAGACGGTTTCCATGGCTTCTGGATATTTGCCTCCCACACAAACTTGGATTGCACACAACTTGTCCACAAAATGAAGTCCTGAAGGTACTCAAATAACCTGTCTTTTCCCTCCCTAAAATAACAAAAAGAAACACATAACAGTAAAAACCCACACAATTTGACTAAACTAACCAATGAATCTGATGAAATTGCATGTAATCAAGCTTACTGTGGGAGGGAAGAAAGTGGTGTGCGGACAGCAGAGTGCTCGCCATTTGATTGTGCATCGAAAAAATCTATGTCCTTGTTTTATGCTCCAGAACAATGATTTTACCAAAATGCCCACTATTCATCGAACATGTCCAAGGGCGTTAAAGTAATAAAGGGCGAACTTTGCCCACAAATTCGAGGGCCTTATCTCTTCCAACTCATTAGTTGAGCTCACTCCTTCAGTTCAGACTAAACTTAGCTACACGCCTACACCGTTTGATATTTCGGAATCTCTGATTGAGAATGGCGCACTCCCTGTGTTTTGCTCCTATCTGCTCCTTGAAATCCTCAAACAGGCCTGGTATTAATAACTTTCTCTGCTTGTCTGTCCTTTCTTGGGTTTTGCAGTGCTTATGTAACTGAATGAGAATTTGTATCAATTTAAATAGAGGCAGTTGTCGGTAATTCGGTTACCCGAAAGGCTTTTGGGATGAAAGAAGCATGTCAGCATTCTAATGTTCGAAAGTTTCAGTCTTTGGAGGTTAAGGTGAGAATTGAGAATGATTTTAGTACCCAATTTACAAATAAGGTGCATCGTGTTTACTATTTTTTTTGCTTTGTGTGTCAGTTAAATGGTTTATGGTTTGTGAATTGTGATATGTGGTTCATAGGCTGAAGAGTTTTGTCCAGTAAGATTTGGAAAAAAAGTGAGTTATAAGAAAATAGAAATAGAATATGGCACATGTAACTTGCACATGCGTTAAATGTAACTGTTTTCTGCAATTGCGTTTGAGAATAAATGATTGCATATACTTTGAATCCCTGTCTGATTTTGATTTGATACAGGCTACAGAAGATGGCAAACAAAGCACAAAAACTAGGAGCATTGTTTGTTCTGATTGTGATGGAAACGGTAAGTGAAAATGTAGACTTTTAATTCCTTTTTTTATTACTATCTTCTGTAATTTTTTATTATTTATTAAAAGACGGTTTGAATTAACGAGCGCCTTCGTGTGATATCATATGGCAATTGCTAGTTTTGTACAAAAAAATAAAACTGAAAAACCATAGACTTTCAATTCATTAAAATTTAGATCTTCAGAGGTTCTTGTTTTGTTAAGAAATTTTATTCCTCTTCCTAAAATAATATTATTCCAATAGAAGGCAACGTCATTAAAGTATAACCCTTAAAGTTTATTAACTCAATTGCTTCCTGTTTGATATCAACTTGAAAAAATAGTCACGAAGTCATGTTGGTTCCAGTGGGTATTAATATTATTTTTAGTCGTCATTCTCAGTGAGATAAGCCAAGTTAGTCTGGAGGTATGTTCATGCTTATCACGTTTCAGTTAGCAATTGCTGATGATGTTTCTCTACAGAGCATTTTCTCATTCAGAAAACTGATAATTCTTGATGAAGAGTAAGGATTCTTTTCCATGCATATTTGAGGCAAACTGTTTTTGCTTCATGAATACAAAATATGGTGCCAATTTCTTGGAGTGCAAGCTGATATATTATGTTTTTTCTCCCTTTCCATTTGAAACATCAGTATTCTCTATTCAACTCACTGGTTGTCTTTTGCTCAACTGCCAGGTGCAATATCATGCTCTCAATGCAAAGGTACTGGAGTTAATGCTGTAGATCATTTCAATGGACGATTTAAAGCTGGTGGATTATGTTGGCTATGCAGGTAACTGCATCATACCATATTCCTTCCTCTCCCTTAATTTTATTCTGTGAGCATGCTCCGCTTTGTTATGTAGTCTACGGTGTACAAGTATTGACTTAGATGCATCAATTTCTATCTACCGCCCTTCCTTGAAGAAAAAAAATAAACAAAATAAAGTTATTTGCTTACCAGTGCTGCTACAATACAATGCTTGCCATCAAAGAGTAAATAAAGATCAAGACCAACATTTCTGCTGACTTTTTAGCAGAATGTGTAAAAGTAGTAGAAATTCAAATTCTTTCCCCAATCTTTGAAGTGCTCAAGTTTGGTTAGGGATATTACTCGATGGATTGTAGCGAACAACAAAATTATACTGCCTGGATAAAATGTATAGATAAACAAATGAGACTCAAATTCTGACAAAATGCATAGAATAAGACAAAATAATTGTCCAATACAAATTCATTTCACTCTCAATCCCACCATCATGATTCTTGTTCAAATGGGATAAGTTATTTCTTTTTGCTTCTTTTCCTTGAAGCTAAATTAGCTGGCTGTTTGCAGTCTGCCTTTCGAAAAGGTTTAGTTTGTTTCTATACAAGTTGCTGATGAGAATATAGGGTCATTTTGAGTTTGATAAGTAGTTCAATTCTTCTTCTGTAATTGTTGGTATGCATTCTCTTGCATGACTTATTTTTACTTTCAGTAATCATAAGATTTTGATGCATTCCTCAAGGATAGTGCTGTAGAAAATTTAGATGCTAAAAAGTCATAATATGTGTAGTTAAAGTGTCAAATATAAGGTAAAGCCGGAAAAGAAGACTCATTTGTATAATAACCATAAAAGAATAGGCTTGACAAAGGCCTTCCGATCATAATTGTTTGTCACTTCATGGTTTAGCTTCGATTTGATCCTATCCAACTTATATATTCCTTGCAGGGGTAAAAGGGATATTTTGTGTGGAAGTTGTAACGGGGCTGGCTTCCTTGGTGGAATCATGAGCACATTTGATGATTAGAAGATTGGCTAGATTGAAACCAAAGATTCCTCATAGCTAAACAAAGAGAAAAGGATGTAGGAATCTGTTTGTTCCTTCGTTGGTCTTTTTGCAATCAGTATTCAATTATGTATTCTGCAGTTGTGACAATAAAATTTTGTATTCGTGATTGTTCCGTGGTTGAGTATAGACCCACCAGATGCTTTTAATAGATTAAATTAATACCTAATTGCTGATTTGTTCAACTGAATTTTATTTGATTCAAGAGTTTTTCTTAAACGAGCAATATCTTAATTGGTTGAATGATTGGCACATAAAATTTCAATGTATTACAGGGAAAAAAAGTCCCCATTAAATAATATGTATTAAAACTCAGACAATGACGAAGAGACGTGACTACAAGTGCACTTCAAATTGACATGTACATTCCGCTCCACACGAACAAATACTTCAAAATCAAGGCACAAACTCAACATAGTCACATAAGAGGCATGCTGGGATTGGGGCAACTATTCTTTACTAAGCTTGAGGCTCAATCCACCTAACAAATATTTATAATCAATGTTTACATAAGAAACCAAAAATATAAAGTTGATATGAAAGAAACTATTTAGTATTAATATTTATATAATCTTTATTGTTGACTAGTTTAATGTAGTGGTGGATAAGGTGCATTTTTTTCACTTTTATTTTTCATAAAATTTCTTTTTTTGGGTCATTTTTATTGATTTTAAAAAAAGTTTCATTTTAAAATTGGTTTTAGGTGTAAGAATGCGCTGAGCCATGGTGATGATATGTTATTTGGAATTAGTATATTGTTATTGCTTGTAAAATTCATTTGCCTCATTAAATCAATCTTAAAGACTAGAACACCCTATAAGCCAATTGGGCTAATTATTCAACAGTTATTTTTGAACGCCCAACGGCCTAAACACGTTTATACATACAAGAATAATTGTACGACGTTTTATATTGATATATAGTATTAGTATCGGCGAGCTAATATCCAAGTCGCTTTGGCCGAGTGGTTAAGGCGTGTGCCTGCTAAGTACATGGGGTTTCCCCGCGAGAGTTCGAATCTCTCAGGCGACGAAGTCTATTTTTCTTTTGTCATTCTCAGACAAATTTTCATTTGCTTTAATATTTTCATACATGATTGGAACATCAAATAATATTTGATTATTTATCATTTATAGTTATATTACTTGCACTCAAACTACCAAACTAACCATAAAGCCATCAATTAAATTTTGAGCACACTTTTCTGATCTCTCCATCAGTACCAGTCTTCACCTCTATACTACTTAACTTAATCATGGCTTTTGGAAATTCAAAATCAAATCTCAACCCCAATAACCCTCTAACATTGCCAGCATAATTTTGCACCACACTTTGAGTAGCAGAATCTTCCCACAGTCTCTGGTCTGATTCAAGAACCCCATTACCATCACGTACATTCTTGAAGAAACTAACATCAAATTTAGCTGGACTATCTTTGTCCAATGCCACGTTTCTCAAGCCATCTCCATTTTTCGGACAAAGTGCTTGAAGTTGAGCTAAGAATGCCACGTTTATAGTGGGATCAGCACTCCCAGAGGTGGTGAAATTGTAAAGACGATAACTGAAGAATCTGCAGTGTGTCTGGCCTATGGTATGTGCACCTTAAGACATATATAAAATATATTATTATATTCCACATACCAGTAAGATACTATAAATGTAAGCGAATCGCATTTACATTAAATAAAATAAGAAATGATAATAAGATACTTTCTAATACATTCTTTTGAACATATTCTCTTATATCGGTTAAAATTTTATTAAAAATTACAAAATTTTGGAGATATCAGATCGAATATCTCTTGGCTTTGCTATTTTTAATAAAATTTAACTGATAAGAGTGAGTCACTGGCATTCATATGTTATCGAAAAAAGCATACCAACTAAGGTGACAAGGTCATGATCATCTAGACCTTTGGCAGCAAATTTTTGCCTCTGGATTGAAACTGAGTCAAGTGGAGAAGGCAAATTTGAGGCTTGAGATGACAAAGAAATCCTCCCATCTCTTCTTCCTGTGGGTACTGACCAACTTGGGCCATCACTCTGCATTTTCACCACTGCTAATTTTATCTATTCCTTAAAAAATTCCACGAGTGTGTGCTAGAGTGTGTTTCATAAAGTTTGAAGAGATTGTTTTAATACCAAATCGACAGCATCACGAGCTGCTAATGCTAAGATGTCAGCACATGAGACAATTCCAGGACATATGGTATCTATTTGTGATTTTGCATCATCGATCACTTCAAAACCTCTTAGACCAAGGTTTGGCAATGCATTTTTCTCCGCAGAAGAATCTGCAATTAAAATTGAACCATCGCATCCCTGTGGAGATAGTGTCAAATGACGTTAATATGTGCATAAAAATAAAATTTTAGGAAAAGAAATTAAGACTTGACTACGATGAAGCAAGTGAGGTGAAATAATAATTGTTTTTGTTAATTAAAAAAGTCAAGAGAACAAATGTTAACAATGCATAGTTGATTATTATTATTATGTGTTGTCCACTCCTAATCTTGATGATATTAATATATGGTTGTATAATCTAGATTTATACTTGTCATTTCTCAAGTGTTAATACACCCTTACCTGGACAAAGCAATCATGGAAATGAAGCCTGAGGAGGCCAGGAGCGATGGTTAGATCTTTGTTGAAGTGGGATACAACGGTGGACCGTACGATGGCCTCAGCATTTGGACATGAAGTGGAATAAAACCCAGTTTTCAATTGGGCTTGTACCGATGAAGTTATTACTAAAATCATTAGGGAGCCCAATATGGCATCCATTTTCATAACAACAATGCAAACTAAAAACTAGTATCTTCAAGCTTGATATTTGATGGTTCTCTCTCCCTTGCTAGTGGCATTTATACTACCACTTTGTGTTACTTATATAATAAGGGATTGTCTCTTGACAAAAACGAATCTTACGATATATGATGATATTTGATCTTAATAAGGTTTGGGCCAATTTGTCAATGATATGCGATTCTAAGAAATTAAAAGATGCATTCCCACTTTATGTTTTCTTAAGTTCATACTAGATATATATAGAAATGAAGGTGGATTTCGAAGTTTAGTTTGCATAATTGAGAGGAATTTGTATTTCCATCACTTTCTTATCTCTATCTTTTTTTTTTCTTCTTGTAAGTACTCTCCTTACTTATCTTTGATGCCTATGCTTTATTTCTTGACGCGTTTCTGCTTTTATTCTTATCATTGCCCTGTAATGCTCATCTTTTTTGCTTTAGTAGTTTTCTTGACTTCGTTTTTGTTCACACTAGCTTTGGTTCATGAATTTTGATGAAAAGTATCCGGGATCACTTCAATGAAATTTGTAAATATAGTGGCAAATTAAAGTTGATTAGCTTGCAAGCACCGAGAAAATAAGAAGTTGAATAACAAGCAGATGCGACTACTGCCCAAGTACAACATTTGAGCAGCAGTAGTTCACGAAACAAATGTCACTTGGTGATATAGAACATTGAAACATATTCTGTTGGAAATTTTTAACTTCTAAATACGTTTCTATGATCTAAAACTTGTGTTAAATTGCGTTAGAACTTAGAAGACGATCTTGTTAAACGAGAAAGGCACACTTATTTTGAATAGAACTAACGGACAATGAACTTGTTGCGGGAGATAAATGTACTACAAAATTTTGTCTTTCTCCAAACATAATAGTCATGGGAGAAGTTTTTTTTTTTTTTTTTGGAAACTAAATTCCGTCTATATATTATCAAATATACATTTTAGGATTTAAAAAAAAAATAGAGAGAATACGAAGAGGGAGAAAAAGCGTACAAATAGAATTGTCTTATAATTTGCTGGGTTTTAGTGGTATTTGAAAGGGTTATTTTATGATATTTGTTTGAGAAGATATTTTATAAGACTTATTTTTTATCAGAGGATTATAATATAATTTTATTCATGAGTCTTTATTTATAGAGAAAATTTGTTATACAAAATTAAATATTGATATTATCCTATTCTAAAATAAGGAAATAAATCCTAAAATAATCAGAACAAATTAAATCTAAATATTTGAAATATAAATAAAATATTCTTATAAAAAACTAACTTAATCTCCTAAAGATATTTAGGCATATCCTCAACATTTCTCATTGACTGAATATCTTTATCACCTAATTTGAGTTTCAAAATCTACCTTTTCTTTTTTTGATTGGTTTCTTCTTTTTGTGATTTTTGTTGTAATCCTTCTTGAGTGGGATCACTTTAACATTTGTCTCGAACTTCTCTTTTGAAGGTGGTTTTTCATCATCTTCATTCTCCTCTTGATCATCAAACTTCTTTTGAAGACATGCATCTTTGTACTCTTTACTTGTATCTTCATTTATAAATGGCTCCTCCTTCTCCAAATTTAAAGCAAAACTTTTGCCTTTCACATGAACATTGAATACTTCTTTATTGTGTATATTTTTAATCACACAATTTTTATCTTCAAATAACACTTTATAACCTTTTCCTAATAATTGAGAAACACTCAACAATTTTTGGTTAATATCATGAACCTATAAAACATCATATATTAATTTAAAACCTGAATGACTCTTAATAGCAAGTGTTCCTTTGCCTTTTACTGCAAGGTGTGCTCCATTACCCATTTGAACTTTAGAGATATTAGTTTTGCTGAGTTCTTTGAAGAGTTCTCGATCATAGGTCATATGATTTGTACAACCACTATCAATAATCCAAGCTTTTGAAGTTTTTGTGGGCATAAAGCATGACATTGAAAGTAGTTCTTCTTCTTCCTCGTTTTGTTGATCTTCAACAATGTTGGTTTCTTCTTGTTTTTCATGAGATTTTTATACATGTTTTAGGTGTTCTAATTTTCCGCAATTGTCACATTTTACATCAGGTCTCCACCAACATCTCTGTTGTGGATGATTAGTCTTTTTGCAATAAGGACATGGTGGAAAAATTTAAGTGTTATTATATTGACCGTTCTCTTGAAACAATTCCTTCTTCTTATTTTTGCCACTATTTTTGTTCTTCCATTTGGCTAAATATACACCTTCCATAAATCCTTCTTCTCTCATAAGCCTCCTTTGTTCTAATACTTGCAATCCATGTAACACCTCTGCCAAAGTGATCTTACTCAGATCCTTTGTGTTCTTCAAAGTCGCAATTGAATCTTCATATCTTTCAGGAATAGTTCCTAGAATTTTTTCAACAATTCTAGAATCAAGAAATTGCATTCCTAGTAATCGTACCTTATTAGCAATGCCAAGCAGTTTGTCAGAGTATTTTTTGATTTTCTCAGTCTCCTTCATTCTTTGTATTTCAAATTCTCTCAATAAATTTAATATTTGCATGCTTCGAATCCTTTCATCTCTAGCATATTCTTCCTTTAGATAATCCCAAATTGTTTTTGCTGATTTGAGAGTCATAATCCTAGTTAAAACATTTTGTGAAACACAGGCAAAGAGACAACTTTTTGCCTTTACCTTCTTGATTTTCTTTTTCTTGTGAATTTTTATTTGGGTTGCGGTAGGATTGTCTGGCAACGCGAAAACATTATAAGCTTCTTCTATGGCTTCCCAAGATCTAAAGCTTCTAGGTATGCCTCCATTCTCACCGCCCAAAGATCGTAACTTTCTCCATCAAAAATAGGTGAGAAAAAGTTTGTTTCTGCTTCCATATCTAAGATCGTAACCTTAGCTCTAGATATTAATGATGGGGTTATTTTATGATATTTGTTTGAGAGGATATTTTATAAAACTTATTTTTTTATCAGATGAGCATAATATAATTTTATTCATGAGTCTTTATTTATAGAAAAAATTTGTTATACAAAATCAAATATTGATATTATCTTATTCTAAAATAAGAAAATAAATTTTAAGATAATCAGAACATATTAAATCTAAATATTTAAAATATAAATAAAATATTATTATCAAATACTAACTTAATCTTCTAAAAATATTTAGGCATATTCTCAACAGTATTTAGCCCGATTGTCATCTTCACTATTCAGAGGACGAACGTTGGGTTCAGCTTAGTCCTTGCTTTTTCATCCATTTATTTTATGGTTGCTACTGTCTTGTTCAATGGTCAATGGATGAGATGATATGTCTCGTGAAGTTTGGTTTTCGGGAGAAAATTTGATCGCTTAAATTTCACTCATTTATTTACACTTCGCTTGTTTTAAAAATAATAATGCTTGAACAGGATTTGTATAGCTTATATTTAATTTAATTATTTTTGTTTTTATGAAATTTTTCTTAATAATTTAATTTATTAATATTTTTTTTATAATTATGTTATTAGTAAAAAATATTTACTAACTTTATTAATGACTAATTTTTGTTAAAAAATTTAACTAATTATTTTTAGTGGAATCTTTCATTACAACCACGTTTTAATTTATCAATATAATATTTAATAATTATCTTAATACTATATAATTATCTACTAATAGAAAAATGTGTTTAACATGTTATAGGTGAAATTGAAATTTTTACTATTATAATGTCATAAATTAGTAAATAAAAAATCATAACTTATTGACTATTAAAAAAACTTCAAAATTAATTTAAGGTTTTTTCAAAAGAGACAACATTTTTTTTATTTTTTATTTTAAGAAGATAAAATTGAATTTATTAAAATATCAAATTTAAGATTAGTACAAAGATACAAGAAATCAATCAAATTAAGTTTATACATAATAGATGTATAACATTGTTCAAAGAAAATAAATATTTTCATGAAACAAATATCGTGTTTTTTTTGTGTGTAAAAAATGATTCACTTACTTCAAAAATAAGATTATCTAAATTTACTTCACTCAATAATTCATATTCAATATCAAATTTTAACGATCTAACTGTTGAATTAAAAGTTCTTAATCTATAAATCAATGTTGTAAATTTTTTAAAAATTTGAAAATCATTTGATATCCCGTTTCTTTAATTCAAATCAACGTATAAAATATTTTTATGATTATCTGTTAATTTAAATTAATGAAAAAGAGTATCAAATAATTTTTAAATTTTTAAATAATTTATAAATTTGATATATGCATTAAGAACTTTTAATTTAATGGTTAGATCATTAAAATTTGATATAAGACATGAGTTATTGAGTAGAATAAGTTTAACTTGGATCCTTCCTCTCGCTACACACGTGCACACACACAAGCCTTTAGTGTTTTTTCTTTCTTTTTTTTAAATTTTGGACTCAACTCATTTAAATAATCATGTGTAATTTCAAATTTGAATTATTTGTTTAATTAAATGATGAGTAATTAAGGAACACACACAAGCCTTAAATGTTATTATTTATTTAATTAAATGATGAGACACACACACAAGCCTTTAATGTTATTTTTTTTAAGTTTGAACTCAACTCATTTAAATAATCATGTGTAATTTCAAATTTGAATTATTTATTTAATTAAATTATGAGTAATTAAGGAACACACACACACAAGCCTTTACTGTTATTTTTTGTAAGTTTGGACTCAACTCATTTAAATAATCATGTGTAATTTCAAACTTGAATTATTTATTTAATTAAATGATGAGTAATTAAGGAGTTGAGTCCAAATAGTTCACAAATAACTTAGTTCATTTGAATCCCTAATAGAATGTACTCGTTCTCTCTTATTTATGCTTTATTGGATTTGTGATTAGAGAGCATATAAAGTAAGAGCATTAGTGATCATAGGGTTCTTGAAAGTCTCCATCTGTATCTTTTGTGTGATTAGAGCTGTCAAAATGGGCTCAGCCCGGTGAGCCAACCAGGCCCACCACGGGTTCGAGCTAGGTTGGGCCAAATTTTTTTTGAAAATTTTAATACGGGCCAATTTTGAACCCGACTCACTAACAACCTGGCTCACCCGGGTTGAACCCATGGTGAGCCGGGCTGACCCACCAACCTGTTAAAAAAAAAATTTATGCTTTAGCTTTCATTTTATTGGGCCTAATTGCCCAAATGAGCATTAGGATTTGAATTATATTTGAATTATTGGGCCCAAAAGAG